TCTCACAAAAGCCGCATTTAAACCACATTATTATGGCTAACTCAATGTGAGACTTTGCCCACTTTCACTATAAATATTATCGTTTGTTAAAAAAAGTGTATTTTAATTTTAAATATAAAAAATTTGGAGAGCAAAATTAGAAGTGTTCCTAAGTTACAAATTTAGTGGATGATGAGGTTTATTCTTTCAAATCTTAATATAAAAAATCGTTCTATAAAAAGTAAAATAAAAAAATCAAACTTTGAAGTATTGGATGTTTAATTTGTGGCCGGATCCTTTCAACCTAATCATTCTCATCGTATAATTTGGATCCTTAAAATTTGATCCAACGACTAAAGTTATTATAACTTATTAGAGTGGGCTTCTATTTGTAGCCGTTTGATCAAATTTCAAGATCTCGAATTGTTTAATGAGAATTATTAGGTGGAACAGATTCGAAGACGATTCATTTCCTAATTTGTGAACGCATGCTTATTTGCATTTGGAAACCAAATGATAAAATTTTAAGGAAAACTAATGAAAATAATTTGAAAACTTTGAGTTTTATTGATAAGGATAAAATAAAGGGTAAAATGAATAGTACCAAGATTGATTTTTTTAGTATAAAAATGTGATTTTTCGTTAAATTAAATAGTATCATGAGCTTTTCGTTAAAGTTTCCAATAAAATTTGGGTAAACCAGAAGAGTTTCTCAAATATAAGGGGGGAATTAACAATATTTTCCCTAAAATACAAGAAGAAAATAAGAATACTCAAAATATTGAGCCTGATTTCTGAAATTTTACTGTTTTGGGGGCAGGATTTTAATTGCGAATCCTTGTTTTCTTCTCCGGGTAGGTTTTGCCTCCTCGCAGCTTCTGTTTCTGAGCAGAAGAAGGACGACGATGGACATTGCTCTCTTTTCCCCATCTTCGCTTTTTCATGACGACGATGACTCTTCCAGTGGTATATTCTCTCTCTCTCTCTCTCTCTCTCTCTCTCTCTCTCTCTCTCTCTCTCTCTCTCTAACTTAGTGGGTCTAAATTGCAGGTGAGGAAAACACAGAGAGCCAGCAAAACTTCGTAGAGAGGAGGCACGAGTTTCCTGGGATGGTATGTCTATTCCTTCATTTGGGTAACACCCAGAAACGTGAATTTGTCTTTCACTTCTTCTAACTGTAAGTTTTCGTATTTTTTCTTTTCTGTTCTGATTTGTTGAATTTGTGTTTTTTTAATCTCTTTCCCATTTGAAATCACTTAATGAAATGAAATTTCGTAAACAGGCTAGAGTTTAATTTTACGCGTTCGATTATAGTTTAGAAACAACATTTACATTCATATGTAGCATTTGTTCCATGGATAAATCAAAACTCAAAAGCAGATGTATGAGTTCAATTCCGTGGAATTGAGTGCTTAAGTGCATTCATTTCAGGGGGTATTCGGCCTTTCGTTGAACGCGAAAAGAGTTATTTCGAGTTCTAGTTTTAGTTTATATTTCAGCTTGGTTCTTGATTGCTTCTTTGTAGAGTTTGATAGTATAGAACTTTTAGTACTATAAACTAAGATAAGTGATTCGGATTGGTACAGGAGTTGGTTGTCCGAGAATTTTCGTTTCATCAGTTGAATGCCAATTTACTCTGGCCTGGGACATTTGCATTTGCAGAATGGTTAGTTGAACACAGGCCATCAATTGAAGGAAGGCATTGTCTTGAACTGGGCAGGTATTTCTCGACCGTTTCACTTCCATATGTGTATGCAATCATCGACTCCTGCATGGAAGGATTACTTGAATCCTTTTCTTTTTCTTGTTCCTCGCACTTTTTAGTGTTGATCATAGGTACTGACTGCATCACATAGATGTTTTTTTCACATAGGGGAAACCCTTATGTTGCTTGTAAACTGATGTTGGTTTGTCTACTGATTGGCAGTGGCACGGGTGCTTTGGCAATTTTTCTACGAAGATTGTTTAATCTTGACATTACGACATCAGACTATAATGATCAGGAAATTGAAGATAATATAGCTCATAACTGCAGGGTAAATGGAATTACACCTGTCCTTCCTCATATAAAGCGTATGTCATCCTTTTCTGGACTGAGTTGTCCTTCAGTTTCTTCACTCTTGAGCATTTTATTTTACTTTTGTTTTTTTATCTCGGGTTTCTTTTACTGCCTAAAATCATAGTGTGTTGAAATTCTAATTGACTGACTGTTTCTTAAATTTGTATTGGGATTCTATTAAATTCATAAGATGGATACTAATTTTTCAGATACATGGGGTGACAGTTTCCCTACTGCTGATCCAGACTGGGACCTAATCATTGCTAGTGATATCTTATTGTGTAAGTTTCTCCTCTTGTGATTTCACTCAAGTATCTTTCTTCAAACCTCGGAGAGTCGGAATCTTTATTCCAATGTCTGTGGTACTGAATATTCGTGGAGCTGCACATAAACGGTATGCTAATGGTTCCTTTTTCTTGACTACTTGCAGATGTGAAGCAGTATCCAAATTTGATAAAAACCCTTTTGTTTCTCCTCAAATCTTACAAGCCGAAGGATGGTAAAGCACAGCCTCAAGCAAAGGATGAACAGAGTGGTGGTACTATGCTGACAAATTCATCCAGTATAAGTAGTATCTGGTGAAACTATTCTCATTCTTATTCACCTCTTGCTCACAGGAGACTCTTTTAGTTTTCCCCGGCCAGCATTTCTGATGAGTTGGAGACGCAGAATCGGAAAAGAGGATGAATCACTTTTCTTCACTGGTTGCGAGGATGCTGGCCTTGAAGTAAAGCATCTGGGATCTCGTGTATACTGCATCAAACCAAGAGAAGCAACTTCCCACGGCGACCAAATAGAGAAGGTTTAGAAGCTATATTTGTTTGAGAAGTAGCCATTCAAAGTCCCAAATTGGCAAGGGGATCCCTTTTTTTGGGTGGCTGAAATCAAGATTTGATCTTTCTGCAATTGCATATGGGATGTAGGAAGTAGCAGAATAACTTTTGAAGATATTTAAACAATCCTTAGTTTGTTTTAATTATTATTGATGTTGTTTAAAGATAATTAAGTACACATAAAGACTTGGACACGAAAGATTGACATTTTTTTTTTGTTGACAAAATGATATTCTGAGCTACTAACTTGTAAGCATGGAAGAAAATGCCGATGATATCGGCGAAATATCGCCGATATTATCGGTTTTTCGGGGAAAGGATATTTTAATTGGTATCCGAATGGTTTTCGTCCAAATATCGCGATATTTTTTTGAACGGTGCAATCGGACTCCGAGCCGAACGTCGGAGAAGAATGCCGGAGATGGTGTGTCTATTCCCGAGCTGATTTCGTCCCAAAAACCTTGCAAAAACACAATTTTTAACTTCAATTTCACATATAAGGTTCAAATTTCACGCATGCAAGAGGTAATCAACATAGGGTTTAGTCGGTCAGAGTGCTGAATTTCAATGGAATCTCACCTGAAAACTTGGGTGTGCTTGGGTGTGGGTGCGATCGGGGAAGCCGAGCTTCCTCTGCGCGTCGCCGTGCTTCCCAGAGACGGAGGAGAGGGAGGGAGAGTTCAGGAGGGTGGTGGAGATGCTGCGCTGGCATCGGGGTGGACGGATTTGGGTGTGCCTGGGTGTGGGTGCGATCGGGGAAGCCGAGCTTCCTCTGCGCGTCGCCGTGCTTCCCAGAGACGGAGGAGAGGGAGGGAGAGTTCAGGAGGATGGTGGAGATGCTGCGTTGGCATCGTGGTGGACGGATTTGGGTGTGCCTGGGTGTGGGTGTGATCGGGGAAATGGAGTGAGAGAATGAGAGTTCGAGAGAGAGATAGAGTTGAGAACTGAGAGAGAGTGAGGGGTCCGAGAGGGACTCGGGAAAAGAGAGAGAGATAGGGTGAGGGTTAGTGGGCTGCCACGTGGCAGCGTGACAGAGAGTGAGAATCAAGATGGAGGGTCCAGATTAGATTAGGATAAAGGACTCATTTGCACAATTTATATAATTTCAGAAAATGAGTGAAAATATAAATTAATCTGGGGGTCCAGATTAGATTAGGATAAAGGACTCAATTTCAGGGAAAAAGTGAAAATATATAATTTTAGGGAAAGAGTGAAAAATTTGCCAGCTCGCTATATAATCAACTTAAATCAGTTAAATCCATCATGCAATGCATTTCCTTCCAATTTTTTGTGATAAACTAATAGATAATTGACTAAATAAACTTGAAAAAACATAATCGGCATCCAAATTAAAGTTTAGTCTTATTCAACGTATTGATTTTCAATCGTTAATTGATATACTATAATTTGGAACTTCAACGCCTAGACGCATGCTTATGTGTAAGAAATTTAAAGTGTCAAATTCGGCACATTATTCTTCATCATTTTATTCAATTCCTTTTTTTTTTAATATCCTAAATAAAACCTCCCAATATTGTACTAATTAATTATATATAAATGATTATGGTGTGTTTAAACTTCTTTCATTAATTACTACATATTTTCTACACTCACAATGTTTGCCAGCTCGCTATATAATCAACTTAAATAAGTTAAATCCATCATGCAATGCATTTCCTTCCAATTTTTTGTGATAAACTAATAGATAATTGACTAAATAAACATCCTGCAAAGTTTAATTAAAAATTTCCAAGTTTTTCTTACAATTTCCGTGGTTTCCATGTAATTTTTATCGATATCGATATTATCCCGATATTTCCATCGACATTTCCGTGTTTTCGGACTACCGATATTTCCGATATTACCGATATTTTCTTCCTTGCTTGTAAGGATGCGGGAACATTTTCTTGATTGACTGGCCAAACCCAGATCTGTGAATTCTAATTCTTGTTTAGTGTGGTGGTTTTTAGATTTTACAAGAATATCCATCATAATACTAATTGGATGGATGGTTAATAATATTTACCAAAATTGGTTAATGTTAATCCACCAAATTAAGCCAAAAGTATGCAAGGTTATGGTTGAGGTAATTTGAACAAATATAGGCCCCAAAAGAAGCCTGGCTTCTCTCTTCATGGGAGGTGGAGATAGCCGTTGCCAATGCTTCCAAATAACATGGTTATCCGAATGGGATTTTTTATATTTTTTTAATTTCTTCAGAGGAGAAACTCAAGCAACTGCCAAAATTGCCTAAAACATTAGTCGAGGATTGCTGGCTTCTGGAACTTGGGAGGTCAGTGAATCAAATTCTTCTTTTCCTACGAATATTTGAGCAATTTATGTAGTTCGTAATATGATGCGCCAGATAGATGTGGGTTAGGCAAATTTGCCCGTTCTCTTGCACGGCAATCTGAATCATCTTTCTCTTAAATTAGAAAAATGTAAAGAAGATCGTATTATATCTCAATTTAAATCATCGTTCTTGTATATTAGAATAATATAGAGAATATCGTATTGTACTTCAATTTAAATAATCTTTCTCGTAAATTAGAATATCATATTGAAAAAAATGATATGCACAAAAGGAAAACTCATGACACTCTTATTGAAACAAATGATATGCACAAGGGAAGGTATTCTCTTCGCATCCCTTTCATCTAATCCTCCTCATCAAACAATCCAGGTCCTTGAAATTTGATCAACGGCTAAAGTTATTATAACTTTTAGAATGGGTCTGTGTTTGTAGCCGTTAGATCAAATTTCAAGAATCCAGATTGTTTGATGAGGAGGATTAGGTGGAAAAGATCAGGAGTGGATCCCTTTCCACGCACAAAGGGAAACAATATGAATGGGCCTTGTAACTCATGGCACACCTCAACAATAAACTGATGGAGTTAATGTTTTACTTGCTCTGTGACTGACATGTATTTGTGACCGTCTCCACATCTGGCCACCATGCATGCCAATACAATATGTGTCCCTTCATTACTCAGATGGCATAATAATTTCTCTCTCTCTCTCTCTCTCTCTCTCTCTCTCTTACTCTCAACCAGAGTGTTTATGTCCGTCCCCTTGCACCGGAGTTAGATTTCTAACTCTCAAACCAAATATGGCTTCCAACCAAGAATGCCTCTTGGAAAACGGCAACCTTGTCAATGACACAAGGGAGGAGGAGGAGGAGGTGAACCACCACCATGGCAAGACAGCCAGGCAAATGTCAGCGTCTTCGCTGCGCAGAAAGTCGGATCCTTCACTAGCAGCTGGTGTTCAGAACCGCCACCTTAGGCAGTTGCTTGTAAATCTGCAAGTTGTTCTTTTTGGGACTAAGCTTTCAGTTCTCCTTCCCACCATTCCTCTATCCATTATTGCTGTGTGCTATGGCTTTGGAAAGGTGAGCGCTTTCACTTAATTATCAATAAATATTCTACACAATTTGGTGATGAATTTCGTACTCCTTTTTTTATCAGTTGGTCTCTAAATTGAATATTTTATAATATTTTTTTCACGCAGCATTTTTGGTGATTTTCGCACCCTTTTTCTCTGCATGCATTCCTGCCTTCTTTCTAGCTTTTAATCAAAAGAGAATCAAGTGACATATATAACAGGAGTACGAAAATCACTACGGGCTATAAAAAGGCGTGTTTAAAACGACTAACCTTCTTCTTTTGACAGCCCTGGATTTTCGCTCTGAGCTTACTTGCAATCACCTTACTTGCTGAGCGGATCAGTTTCCTTACAGAGTAAGGCGTTTTACACAATCAGTTAGACTTTCTTCAAAATTATGCTTGGATTAATCTTTGCCACTATGATTTTTTACTTCAAACTGCAGACAAATATCATACTACACTGGTCCAACAGGTAAACTGTTCTCATTTTTTATTTTATTTTTTATATTGTTACTTATGACGGCTCGTTTGGTGCCTAGGATTTGATGGTAAGGGATAAAACATACGATTCAAGGTTATGTTGAACGTACGTAGAGCTGAATAATGTGTCATTTTGAATGGATTAGAAGGGATTAGACACGAATGAATTTTATGCCTTTTAATCTCTTCATTACTTCTTTAAACATATCTTGAATGTAGTGAGTTATCTAATCTATTAACAGAATTTGACTCTCACAATATTTTGTGGTTTTGGTTTGCAGTTGGGGGGCTTCTGAATGCAACATTTGGTAATGCCACAGAGCTGATCATAGCAATATCTGCTCTAAGCCAAAATAACATAGCTTTGCTCAAGTATTCTCTCTTGGGTTCAGTTCTTTCCAACCTTCTCTTGGTCCTTGGCACCTCCCTTTTCTGCGGTGGCCTTGCCAACCTCAGAGGGGAGCAAAAATTTGAAAGAGTAAGAACCCTAAGAATAATTTTCGGATTTTAACTTCCGTAATTCTTCGGTTTGAACTTTATTTTTAAATTATCCGACTTATATGTTGCTTCGTATACCTGAATTTCTTTTTCTTATAAACTTTATATGCATATTGTTTTCATCAGAGACAGGCGAATGTGAACTCTCTCCTTCTACTGCTAGGCACATTCTGCCACATGCTACCGATGTTGCTTCGATACGCTGGGGACTCTGCAGTAGCAGCGGACCAAACACTCCAAATCTCAAGGGCCTTTAGTATCGTAATGCTACTTTCTTATACTGCATTCTTATTCTTCCAACTGTGGACTCACCATGGATATTTCGAATCTCAGCAAGTAATTATCCTAATTTTTTTGCTGCAATCATGATTTTATTTTCCTGATTCCATGAGTACTGCATAGGAAATAGATGATATAATAAAAGCATCAATCTAATTATATAATGCAGAAGAATCGTTGCATGAAAATTCATGATACTATTGATGAAACTTTTCATCTGTTTATTTTTTTTTCTGCTTACTTGTCATACAAGTCTTCATTCCGAACTGATCTGAGAGAGTGAAGATCCCAAAACAAAGAGATTTTTTGTTAAAGCAATTGATGATATGTGCATTAAACTTGCATTTTCAGTGCTTCCTTTCACAAAAACAAGTTGTTAGAGCTCAGCTAAGTAATTAGGAAAAATGCAACTGAGCAGGTATCGGAAGTTGATGGTGATGAGGATGTTCAAGAAGATGCGGCTGAGGTCGGTTTCTGGAGTGGATTTGCTTGGTTGTTTGTTGTCACTACCATCACCGCTTTGCTGTCTGAATATGTGGTGGGCACAATTGAGGTAATTAATTAGTACACTATGTTGTTTAGTGGGTTTGTAAACCTTCTCATCAAGACATGCAAATTCACCGAATTCGTATGTTATATTAGGATGCGTCAAGATCCTGGGGTTTGTCAGTCAGCTTCCTCAGCCTCATCCTTGTACCGATTCTTGGAAATGCAGCTGAGCACGCAGGATCGATCATATTTGCTCTCAAGAACAAGTTGGTGAGTAATCCTAATATCTTTGATTAATTGATCTCCTCTTCTTGCAGGAAGTTATAATTAAGTTTACATTTTTCTGTTTTACACAATTGCAGGATATATCTTTAGCAGTCTCTTTGGGGTCTGCAACTCAGATCGCGATGTTCGTGGTTCGTGTTCATAACCTAAGCTCAATTACTGTAGTCTCTTTCCAAACCAGAAGAACAAAAGTTCCATTAACAAAAACTCTTTTTTTTCTATACGTGTGACGCAGGTTCCGTGCTGCGCTGTTGTTGGTTGGATAATGGGAGTTAACATGGATCTGAACTTCAATCTGATTGAGACAGTGTCATTTGCTCTAGCAGTGATCACAGCAGCCTTTGCTCTACAAGTAATACTCACATGATTAATCATACATAACTTCATATGTATTAAGTATATCATACTTTCTCATATGTTTTTAACCTTGATTTTTTTTAGGATGGGACTTCACATTATGTGAAGGGATTGGTTCTTATTCTCTGCTACATTGTCATTGGAATCTGCTTCTTCGTATACGAAACACCCCTCGATCGGTGAGTCGTTAAAAGAGAAATGACTTCTGCATACACTTTTTCACATCCTGTACACCACTATTCTTTTTTGGTCTTTGGTTTGAATCAAGGGTGGTCAACTTTAATAGGCGTGAACGTAATGTAAAAAAAGGCATGTAGAAATCACTCCCGGTAGTTAAAAATGCCGTAAACACCAACCCTTTTCAATTCTCAAAGCTCTCTACACACATATATATATATATATAAACCATATTTGAATCATGTTGATTTGTTTCCGCAGAACAAACAAATAGCTAGCATCAACTTGATGACACCAGTCATGAATTAAAGGCAGTATTCACATCCTTTGATTGACGTCGGAGAAACTTGAGGGCAGGATTGGTTCAAGGTGACTCCCAAAAGTGGAAATATGCTTCCTTCCTTAGCCTGCGACGAGATAAATTATTTGGGCCCAATTGATTTCGTTAACATTGGCCAGATTGATTTGTTATTCAAATAAATGGCTTCCCAGCCCTGGCTACGGTTTTTCTTTTTTTTCTTTTATTTTTCTTTCAATATGACTATATATTTATATTAAGAGGTAGGAAATTTGAATTAGGCTACATAATGGGTCAGTCATATATATTAGTTCGAACTCACCATCCATGAGAATTAAATCTAATACTTCCTACTATAGTTTAGTAGTTAAAAGCTTGTTTGGAAATGCTTTTAAAATGACTGAAAACGCTTTTATTAAAAATGTTTTTAGAACAAGTGAATCATAAAAAACACTTAAATGTTTCCTGCAAGTACCAGTTACGTGCTTCTTACATAAAACATTTTAATTGCTTTTAGAACCGAAAAATATTTTCGCTAAAAACGCTTTTAGTCATTAAAAAAAAAAAAAAAAAACTTCCAAACGAGCTCTAAAGGACCTTGAGAATAAATTAACATCAAACTCGCCAATCACAAGATTCTAATATAAGACATTTCACTTATAAATTAAGATGAACATTATTAGACTGTAGTACTAAATGGTTTTACTTTTATTCTTTTCATCTCATTTCACATTTCCAAGAAATGAGCATGTGGTCCACTATCTTAGTGAATAGTGTCTAGGTTTCATCCATGTGTCTCGGTTTCGAAACTCTTCTTCCTAAATTATTGTAAAAGTTTTGAACCTTCCTCCTCCCTTAATAATAATATCATAAAATTACATTACATCATAATGGTTTTACTACAGCATGACGTTCACATCAAATGTATGAGATACAACCAACAACAACAACAACAACAAAGCCTTTTCCCACTAAGTGGGGTCGGCTATATGAATCCTAGAACGCCATTGCGCTCAGTTTTGTGTCATGTCCTCCGTTAGATCCAAGTACTCTAAGTCTTTTCTTAGGGTCTCTTCCAAAGTTTTCCTAGGTCTTCCTCTACCCCTTCGGCCCTGAACCTCTGTTCCGTAGTCACATCTTCGAACCGGAGCGTCAGTAGGCATTCTTTGCACATGTCCAAACCACCGTAACTGATTTTCTCTCCTCTTTCCTTCAATTTCGGCTACTCTTACTTTACCTCGGATATCCTCATTCCTAATCTTATCCTTTCTTGTGTGCCCACACATCCAACGAAGCAGCCTCATCTCCACTACACCTACGTGTTAATGCTTCACCGCCCAACATTCTGTGCCATACAGCATCGCCGGCCTTATTTCCGTCCTATAAAATTTTCCCTTGAGCTTCAGTGGCCTACAACGGTCACACAACACGCCGGATGCACTCTTCCACTTCATCCATCCAGCTTGTATTCTATGGGTGAGATCTCCATCAAATTCTCCGTTCTTTTGCAAGATAGATCCTAGGTAGCGAAAACAGTCGCTCTTTGGTATTTCCTAATCTCCGATCCTCACCCCTAACTCATTTTGGCCTCCGTTTGCACTGAACTTGCACTCCATGTATTCTGTCTTTGATCGGCTTAGGCGAAGACCTTTAGATTCCAACACTTCTCTCCAAAGGTTAAGCTTCGCGTTTACCTCTTCCTGCGTTTCATCTATCAACACTATATCGTTTGCAAAAAACATACACCAAAGAATATCATCTTAAATATTAAGTTTGTGATCTTCGCTAGATTGCTCCGGTCATTATTGTGGATAAGTATGTAAATGGATAGAGACAGGAAGCAAACACAAGATGTACGTGGTTCACCCAGATTGGCTACGTCCACGGAGTAAAGGAGTTCTCATTAATTGTGAAGGGTTTACACAGTACATAGGTTCAAGCTCTCCTTTAGTGAGTACAAGTGAATGATTTAGTACAAATGACATTAGGAAATATTATGGGAGAATGATCTCGTAATCACAAAACTTTTAAGTACCGAAGTGTGGTATCGTCTTCACTTGCCTTATCTGTCTCATAGGTAGATGTGGCATCTTCTTTGGAAGTACTCTTCCTCCCTCCAGGGGTGGTATCTTTAACTGGTGGAGATGCACAAGGTAATGTATCAATTTCACTTGACGCTTACTTGTAGTTTCAGGCTCGGTCAAGCGCGATACAAACCATGTAGTAGGAGTCTCCCAAGTCGCCGAGCTAGGGGATCTGCTGAAAGAGGTGATAGACAAGGTAAGCAATCAGAGCTCCAAGCAATCAGTCCCAGATCAGAAGTTTGATTTCGAGTTCTGGCTGATTGTTATCCTTCTCCTTATCTTGCAGGCAGCATGAAGGATAAAGAGAAGAAAATAAGAAAAGGTGATATGAGATACTTTTGCTTTTGAAGAAGTAACTTTCCACAAGCTTATTCTTGAACTGGGCTGGAGGGTTTTCTGGTTTCCGCCAGAGTATAAGGCCGACTGAAGAATTTGATGGTCAAAACAAGTCCATCAAATTTAGAGTACGTTCGACCCTGCTGATATGGGATACTTTTGCTGTTGACAAAGTAGTGGATGTATCGGCACGTGTTCTGTTGCGCTTGTCTCCACATGCTTCCTTGTATCCTTCTCACTTGCCCTATTTGTTCCTCAGGCAGATGTGGTATCTTTTCGGGAAGCATAAGATGTTGAAGATGAGTACTCGAGAGCAATGCCAGGTAAGTAATCAGGTAAGGGGTTCCAGGCAGTCAGTTCCGCACTGGAAGCTTGATTCCAAGTGCTGACTGATTGCTTTCTTTCTCCTTGTCTTGCAGGTAAGAACAAGGCCAAAGGAAAAGACAGGGAAAAAGCATGATATGGGATACTCTTGCTTTTAACCCTGATGATATGAGATATTCTTGCTCTGGTGTAGCTTGTTTGCAGAGGTATTCTCGGGGGGAAAGAAAGCTGAGTATTTCGAGAGGCTTCATTGGGAGTGCCCTGTCAGATATGAGGAAGGGTTGAGCATTTTTGCAGGTCTGCCTGTCCGTTGAGGATGGAGGTCGACATATATAGGAGTCTCCCTAACAACAAGGAGTAATGCTATTCATTTACCCTGTTTGGTCATAGCACGGTATTGGGAGCTGCTAGCTTCACGCGTTTTAACTCTGTCAGAGCACTTTGAAAAAGTGGTCTGTGGTATCTGGAAAGCTGATGTTACGTGTGAAGATTACAGACAAGCTTTATCCAAGAAGATCTGGCTCTCGAAGTTGAGAAAGCGGTGTGAGGATTACAGACAAGCTTTATCTAAGGGGCTCTCGAAGTTGAGAAAGCGGTGCCTCTTTGGTTTTCGAACAAGCAATCCTGTCGGGGATCTGTCTCTCGAGATTCGGAGAACGGTGCCTCTTCAATGTTTGAGAAAGCAATCCTGCTAGGAGTCTGGCTCTCGAGATTAAGAGAGCAGTGCTTTTTGAGAAAGTGATCATGTTGAGAGTCTGGCTCTCGAGATTCGGAGGATGGTGCCTCTTCGATCTTGAAGCAAGCAATCTTGTTGGGAGTGTTTTCTCGAATGTTAGTAAAGGTTAGGCCTGTTTGCTAGTCTACCTTGCCACGGAGCACAGAGGTTGACACACAGGGACTTTCCAATTATCCAGTAGTGGTCATGTTATTTTACCCTTGTGGGGTAATAATATGGTAGCTAGACCTTCAAAATTTATGTGTCTAAACTTTGTTAGTGCTGTTTCTTTGCTATTCTTTTACCCTTCTTGGTCATAGCGATGTAATGGGAGCTGCAAGCTTCACGTGTCTAAACTTTGTCAGAGATTTTTGGCAAAGTTATCTGTGGTACCCGTGAGCTGATGTTGCATGTGGAAAGTGGATGATTGAACAGTAACATTCACGTGCTTTCTACTTCACCAGAAATCTTCGACAGAATGCCCGTAATTTCCGCAAAGTTGAGTGTGCATGTGACAGGTGCTGACAAGGCTGAAAAAGCAGGTGCCTCTTTGATTTTTGAGATCGGCCCTCGTGGTCTCTAAGCAGCCCAGCTTTTAAGAAGGCAAGTGCCTCTTCGATTTCTACGATCGACCTTCGTGGCCTTTGAGCAGCCCAGCTTTTGAGAAAGTAAACGTCTCTTCATTTCCTGAGATCGGCCCTCGTGGTCTCTGAGCAGCCCAGCTTTTGAGAAAGCAAAAGCCTTTTCGATTTCTGAGCAGACGCCTCTTCGATTTTTGAAGCTCCATTGAGTGCAGATTTTTATAGAGGCTGGTATTAAGTTCCAAAGCACACTTGAATCTCCACCAGTAGAAGCTCCCTTCTTGCATTTCTAAGATCTTGATTTATCTGACCTATTCTCTCTTCAACACCCTTGAAAATGTCTAGCCCCTCCGACCGTCTTGTTTTGACTTGAGAACCTTGTTGAAGAGGCCAGCCACGCCTTCTCCAGACAACATATGGCGCCCATCCTTCTTATCCCCTACTGGTCCTCTTACGTGGGGATTCCATGATGATGAAGAATGATATGATCGCTGCGGTGGTGGCCAGGAACCTTTCTCACTCCCAAAGATAACAGACTACTTTCCAAACGGTCTGATGAGTTGGCTGTTAAGGATTCTCTGGCTCTCAGTGTTCAGTGTGCAGGTTCTGTGTCTAATATGGCCCAACGCCTATTTGCTCGAATCGCCAAGTTGAATCATTGGCGGCTGAAGTGATGAGTCTCAAACAGGAGATTTAGAGGGCTCAAGCATGAGAATAAACAGTTGTTGCACCGGCTCGCACATGACTATGTTACAAACATGAAGAGGAAGCTTGACCAGATGAAGGAATCTGATGGTCAGATTTTACATGATCATCAGAGGTTTGTGGGTTTGTTTTCCAAAGGCACATTTATTGCCTTCGTCTTCTTGGGCTATACCGCGTAATGAAGCTCCAAATGATCAACCTCCGATGCCTCTTCCTTCTAAGGTGCTGTCCAGTACTAAGGCTCCGAATGATCCCCCTCCGGTGCCTTCTCTTTCTGGGGCTCTACCGACTGCTGAGGCTTCTCCTAAGCAACCTTTGTGAAGGCTTCCTCTTGTTTGTTTATTTTGACTCATGTATATGTACATATTTGTAACTTATTGGAGATATCAATAAATAAGCTTTGTTTCATTTCAACGTATTATGTTAAATACACCAAAGCCTTATTCGCTAAGTTCTTTGAATTTTTCTTTT